CCCGCCGGCACCGCTGCCGAGCAGCTCATTAATGGGAATCAAGTACTGACATGAGAAATTCACTGAAGTTGATACTCCATATTTAGTGACCATGGAAAATTTTCCGCCTTTGGAGATTCCGAGCTTAACTAACCTATTTAGAAATCAGCACTGGTTAAAGAGAAAGTGTTTATATGCAATTTCGGAAAATGTGGATTGTATGGGCCTTTTATTTTATTTATTTATTTTTTTAATTCTCCCCCCCCTCCCCCACAGAAGAATTTGATTACAGAAAGATTTGATTAGTCTCATCTTTCAGCAGGGTGGTGTGCTTTCACGCTAAAAGTATGGGTATTCCTTAGCAATTTGATTCCTAATTGTTGGATTGGCCATCGCAGAATGAATGACAAAGTGGTGTTTCCTTGGCCAATGCAGATCACAGGTCATTAATCCATGTGATTTTCTATTGTGGTACTTTGTGAAAGGTAAATTCCACATAACTTGACCTACGAACATGCATAGGTAATGCTCTGAACTTAGTAATATCAAACTTACTCAGGCAAGTGTGGGAAGAAATGAACTATTGTCTGGATGTTATCTGTAACTCAAAGAAGTCATATCAAGCACTTAATAATGTCATAAATTTAAAATATTTGAGTTGTCCTTTCTTTAAATATGTTCTGGTAAATGTTTGTTTATAATTGACTTTATTATAATATGTCAAAATACTGTACATCATTTTGAATAATCTTTTACTTTTATTTGGCTGTTATATTGATAGCAGCTTTACTTTTTACGAATTTACTGTGGAAGTTTGTCAGTTGATTTTATTTTTAATAAAGTTGGGCTGGTATCTATTGTTTATTGCAGTTTGTAGGGTGTAGTTATATGTATTGGTTTTGGAAAAGTGTAGTTGCAGAATAGAATTTATTAGGACATCTTAAGTAAGAACAAAAAGCAGTTATTTCATGAGCATGCAGTAAAAAAGAGTCATGTAAGACTGTTGCTGCCTTGCCAGTTGATAGGTTTGTTGTAGATGTTCCAACTTGCCAAATTCAAAAATCGAGAGATTTTGTATTTATGTTCATTTTATAAATATATGGAAAAAATCAGATGGATTCATTGCCAGTTAGTTGCAGGGATTAAAGATGACCAAGAAGAAAATTATTAAGAATTGTTAAACATTTGAAAAATATTTATAAACTTTCTAACAATCAATACAGTAATCAAAATAGAACATCCTTGGTAAAATACTCAATAACTGAAAAGGGCAAAGCTAGAATAAACAACAAACCCCAACACAAAAGCTGCATTTAAATTAGAGAAGGTAAAAAAATTACCTCAAGATCCATTTTCCAATAGAAACCTTCCTTTCAATTTGCCATATAACTGGATGTTAACTTAAGAAAAGTACAGATACAGGTAGAAGTGGGCGGAATACCAGAAATTCACCATTGGTTATACACATATAGTCTCAATGCACTAACTGCCCTGTTCTGCTCCAATTTTGAAAGAGAACACCCTGGGGGGTGGCCTGGGGTTCTTCCACCCTTCTTCCCTTCTATCAACCTCTCAAGAGGACTTTTGGTTGGCTGTATTTTGAGTGTCTGCTTGCCCCATAGACATATGCCAATAAACATATATACTTTCTCCGGGCTTCGAACACAGGCCCATTAAAGCATACTAATACAGGCCATTAAGCATAACTAACCACTGTACTGGCTGGACGGCTAAAAAAAGTATAACAATTCTCTATGAAACCATCCTATATGAAGCAACCATGAAAGGATATGAACTTGATCAAACCATTCATTCAGATTCTAGCTGAGTAAGCAAGCAGGTTGCCTGAAAAAATACCAGACTTGGCAATGATTTTAACTTAGTTCTTAATGTGCAAACTAAAACTATTTTATTTTGCTTTGATTTGAATTACATGTTTTTGATTCTTCATCGTATTCAACCATATTTAGATCTGGAAATCCAGTTAGCCAGTCCATCTGCTAAATATCTTTATTTTGAAGATATTCATCCACCAGTTAAGTCCTAAGTAATGGAGAATTCTTGTCCATAAAAAAAAGGGGGCTAGCTCTAACTCCCTTCTTTACCTCTAGGTCAGGCAGTCAGGAGATCTCTATCAAATGCATTAAGTGGTATGTGGCCATCCAGCATAATACCTGCCCATAGCATGACAGTTTTGCCACTGTAGTGGTTCTTTTTCCTGGTAGTGAAGGAATAGTATAATGTCCTAGGCGCATTAAAATGATTAGCTAGGCTGAATCTAAACTTTTCATTGAAGAGCACTTAGGTCCACTTGAGTTAGATCCAAGGCTAATATTCTTTGTGTCAGATTCATTTCTTTGTGTTAAGGAATGAATAGGTCACGAACAGTATGCCTTCTGTCAAAAAACCTTTCTTATGAATTACTTTACATGTGAAACTAATTTCAGTGGCAGCAGAGAGTTTTGTAATTGCAGCAGTCCTCTGCCCAGTAAAAAGAGCCAAATACTGATCTTGATAAGGAATTGTGACTTATGGGCACTTTTCCAAACCTCTCTGGGATATGAATGTCTCCTGAAATTGTGTACACAAACTGGAGTTACATGGAGCTTTCTGAATGCCAAATTGTTCTGCCTCCTATCTGTGGATTGTTATTGTGACTTATCTCATTTGGGTGACAATAACATCAGATTAAGTTCATAATTTTTTTTGTATCCAAAAGGCCTGATGGCTTAGGCCTTAAGCAACCCTTACAGGGGTAAATTTAATAAGCTCCATCACAGTTTTGAAAGAGAATTCACCAGAGAATGAATTTGAGGGTCTTCTAATTTTCTTCCCCATCCACCAGCTTATAACAAATTATTGTGTTTTTCAAATAAAAACCAGCAATCTAAATTACTATTTTTAATTAAAAGAACTTTGTAACTTTTTCAGGTGTCTATACATATTAGAACTTATCATTTTTCTTTCTAATTTATATTTATTTATAGTTATTTTAATCTGAGAATTTAGTAAATGTGTTTGCAATTTTTTTTGGGGGGGGGCAGTTAAGTTCTGTTCATGAAAGATTTAAAGCTTTTTCACTGTAAGAACTTTTGGTACTTATGTATTATCCCATCGACCTTCGGCAAAAATTTTGGAAATGGTCTCAAATTGCCAGTCATTACTTTGGAATTCTGAACTACCCGGTCCTCCATAACTGTGACTAAATTGTGATAGTTAGCCAATCAACATAAGTACTAAACTTTTTTGATAGTTTATCCTTATATTCTAATAAGAAGCAGTTATTTGTTTGTAAATTTAATGTTTGGATTTAAATGTAATCTTTGTACAGTTTAGTATTTCTTTTACAACTTTGCTTTATGCTCTGTGTATCTGACTGTATTAATATAGTGATTTTGTCTTTATAATATTGTCTCACAAACTTAGTATATTTTTTTTCCTGTTTGAAACAAAAAGCTCTTACCTTTCTCTAACAAAAAAATTCTTGATAATACAGTCAAAAGTCGTTAATTCAAACACCCATAATCCGGAATGATCTATAATCCAGACCTCAAAGCAACAAACTTTCTGCGCATGCGTCGCATTGACGCATGCGCGTAAGACCTTTACGGATGCGAATACGCGTGCGCAAAATACGTTTACGAATGCGCGTTTAATGTATAATGGACGGTATAAGCTAAGCTAAAATTATCTAATTCAGTTAACGTTGCAGATTGCGTTGTTCCTTAATCTTCGAATTGGATTCGGCTTATTATTTTTTGCAGACTGTTAGACCAATTTTATAAAAGTAAGCTTGAACTTTCGATTATGTCAAATAGAATTTCTGATATATATATTTACTAATATGTAAAGGATTTACAAAGCGAAAGTATGTTTCGAAATCCATTAAACAAAAAGTGGAATTGCTGCAAAAAATGGATAAAGGCATATCCTTTGTTTATCTAAACTTTAACTTTTGTTTATCTTTAACGCCGCGGCAGCAATGAATTGGAAGTTGATTTGTCAGCACTATCCTTATCTTCAGGACAGATGTTTTTATTTTATTTGGCTTATAATTCTTTACTAAATGTAATATTTCATCTCGATGTACTCGGTCTTTGATATGATTTAAATCAAGTTCCTCGTCATTATAATTCGCTTCCGATAGTGAAGAAAGTGACTCGGGGTTATTGAAAACGAAAAAATTTCGATTCACAAATTAGTCGGTATTCTCGACACAGCAATTATAGGACTTGAACAGCAGAACTTTGTAACTAAACAAGAAATTATGTCTGTTTAATAGAATTAAAGAGAAAGTATTATCACATGAAACGAAGCAAATTAAACAACTTACATTGAAAGAAATGTTTAATAAAGTAAACAAATAAATATTTAGCTTTTTCTTTTTGTAAATTTTGATACCCTTTAGATCATAATTGCTCTTTATTTCATAAATTACGGTTTCATATTTTTAATTTTATAATTTCTGCATGCCATCTTACCAGATTTAAACTGATGATCTATAATCCGGAAAAATCGATAATCCGGAATCGCCGAAGTCCCGACGAGTCCGGATTAACGACTTTTGACTGTAAAAATAACTGTCATGTATTTGATTAATATGTTAAAATTCTTGTTTATATCATTTTGTAGTTAATATGCATATTGTTATTGATTTTTTTTTAATATTAGCATCAAGAAATTGCAACTCAGAAGTATTTCTGTCATTTTTATCTTAATATTTCATTTTTTATTTATTATTTGATTAAAGTGTATTTAATTAAATAATTGTATAAATTGTAGCAAACAATTGTAATTAAAGTGTATTTAATGGAATAAGTGATTGTGATTTTTTAATTGAACGAAAATATTTGGTAAGTACTGTCATTTTAATTGCTGCAAAGAATTTTTTTAGCATTTAGTTTTTTATAATGCAGATATTTTAATAGTATTATTATTGTTGCTGCTATGAAACTCTGAAATATATACTACCTTTCTAAAACAAATTTCCTGAAATGAACTATTTATATTTATAATTTTAGGTTTACCATCATTTAAAGGGTTGGCCAAAGCCAATGAATTTAAAATCAGAGGGTTTACGTCGATTTTATTCTCATATGCGCCATCCAAGTTTCTCTGCCTTAGCTGTGATACTTTTCATTCATCCTGTAATGCATCTGGATAGGCTGTTGCTTGCATATACCTGTACTATTTTTATGCTGTTACACTTTAAAGTTGATGAAATTGATTACACTTATCAACGAAGAATGCTGCAGCGCAAAGCACGGGAATTGAGCATGAATAATTAATTAAAAATATTATTTCACTGTGATAGTAAAATCTGAGTCATGCACAATTAATCATTTATGTAAATATATTTATTTTCTAATAATAAGAAATATTTTTGATACTTTGTTAGTTAATGATGTTAACATTTTTGATACTCACTAGCATCATGTATTATTGATGCATATTAAATCAATCATTTAAATATCAAATGAATTAAAAATGTTTTCCTGTACTTTGTTTTCAGATGTTTGTCATGTTTATATTGATTTTTATGTTACTTGTTACTGAAGTTTGATGCCATCTTTTTAATTATCTGTACTTAAAATTTTTATTTTTATAATCTCTCTGAAATAAGGGAATTTATCAGCTTGTAAAATACTGATTAAATGCAGTTTCAGATTTATGATTTGGATTGTATATGTAACTTAAATCTGATATGTGAGGTGATAAATTTGTTGTAGTATTATTTTAAATAATTTTTTGTAACTATTTAATCTCATTATTTTATTGGGTCAAAAAATTTATTAGTTTGTGAAGAATGTTAAATACATGATTTTTTTTTTTTTTTTTTTTTTCCCAATTAAACTTAAGACTAACATTAAGATGTTTCTATATTCACAAAACAGAAAAAATGTATCTTATTTTTATAAGTGGAAATTAATAAGAATGAGCATTTGATTCTGATCTTATTTCCTTGTGTTTTGAGAGTATTACATGTTAACCCTATGTGTGAAATATGTCAGTTATTTATTCCCAATTTTTCTCTAAATTTTGTGATTAAAATAGTTTTATCCATATAATCAATTTTAAGTCAGATTAATAACATTAAGTAATAAGAGAAAGAAAGCTGATATTTTAAGTTTATCCCTACATTTTTTATGTTCTCTTCCGTGTGCCATATACTTAAGAAAAACCAGTATTTAGTTTTATTTGAATTTTTTTTTTAACCAGTACTCATAAAGTTTAGTTTTTTGTTTTTAATACATTTAATTATTTGTTTTCTTTTATTATCATTGAGAGATTTAATATATCCAGATTTTGTTTATGGATTTTCTTCGTATATAATTGCTTTTAGTTGGTAATATAGTATGGATTTTATGCAACTTGTGTATGATCTCTAATTTATTTTAATAAATAGTTGAAATCTTTTTGTTGTAACCTAGATTTTTTTCATTATACATTTATTTCATCATATCATACACAATAGTTCCCATTCAGTAGCGGACTGGCCAAAGAAATCAGCCCCAGCAGAAAAAAATAAGTCAATCCTAAAGCCCCCATATGAAATGTCATTAAGTTATCATTGTCTTCATCTTCATCATATATATATATATATATATATATATATATATATATATATATATATGTTGAATGATCTTAAATTCTTCTAATACTTGCACAATAGCTGCAAAGTAAGATAATAATAATTTATTTACTAAAGAAATATTGATTATATTATCTCCTAATATAAATTTAGTTTAATCTCGAAAATTGTGTTTTAAAGTAACTTGAATCTAAATTATTAAAAATGATTTACGGGGACTTGAATTAAATCATGAATAACAAAATTTCAAACTTTAAAAAAGAAATTAAATTAAAAGTAAGTAATTATCGCTATTAATCAGAAATTAGTTGACTTTTCAAGGGGAACAGACCAACTCCCGTTCAATGAACAATAATTAATAAATATGAAGGTGTTTCATCTTTTACTCTAGTAAGAATGGTTATGACAAACTGGCAAATTAAGTTAGGCTAAATTCTTTGATAAATAAAATGAGATTACAGATCGAAGTATTGGAATGGGAGCCCATTGAAAGTCCTCTGACTTGTTTAAAAAGTTGATTTTGAAATTTAATGTAGTTATGAAAATGTGTGCATTTTAGGTAGGTTTTCCATTTACTAAGATTCATAATCGTGAGCATAGCAGGGAAGAATTTAGGCAGATCTAGTAGACTAATATAAATTTCTTCTAAAAGAAGTGAGGTATATAAGTTTTCAAAGTCATAGCAGTTAATGTTTTGTATGTCAATTGTTTGAATGGCATTAATGACAGGAGTGTTATTATGGATGATCCAGCAATAGTTATGATTTAGTGTTACAATCGTTGAAAATAAATTTACAAATTTTTTAAGTTGAATTGAAAAATAATAGTCTACATTTTTCTTGTGATTAGTTCCATTTGCTATAAATCTGAATTTTAATGGTGTTTTATAGAATTTGGGAAGTGCATAGAGGTTAGTAAATCTGTTGTAGCTTGGATTTAAAGAGATATTTAGTTTTTTATGAAAAGTTGTAGTACTTGCGTAGATGCTCATCACCAGCACATAATTACTGGCAACCTAAATATCATACAAAACGATCAACTAAAAACTCTTATGAGTTATGGAGTAAAATTTAGACCAGTCAGACACATCAATAAAAATTACTGTAACAAGACTTTCGATTTTCAATTCAACTTAAAAAAATTTGTAAATTTATTTTTAACAATTGTAACACTAATCATAACTATTGCTGGATCATCCATAATAACACTCCTGTCATTACTGCCATTCAAACAATTGACATACAAAACATTAACTGCTATGACTTTGAAAACTTATATACCTCACTTCCTTTAAAAGAAATTTATACTAGTCTACTAGATTTGCCTAAGCTCTTCCCTGCTATGCTCACGATTATGAATCTTAGTAGATGGAAAACCTTCCTAAAATGCACACTTTTTCATAACTACATCAAATTTCAAAATCAACTTTCAATCAAGTCAGAGAACTTCCAGTGGGTTCCCATTCCAGCACTTCGATCTGTAATCTCTTTTTGTTTATCAAAGAATTTAACTTCCAAAAAAATTTACAATGGCAAGAATTAAATTACTACAAGCACACTTACAGATATATAGATGATTTTATTACATTTAATAATTTTAATAAGATTGAATACTCCAAGATTTATCCACAATGCCTTCCACTTAATAAAACTAATCATTCACAAAATAGTATCGACTATCTCGATCTTCAAATCATTAACTATAAAAAAATTTTACTGTTTGACAAAACAAAAAACTTCAGTTTCAATACTAACAAATTAATAAATTGGACTTCCAATATCTCCAAAAAAGTTATTAGTAATACAATAATAAATCAAATACAACGTATTAAAAATATTTTCACAGATACGATAGATCTGCAACACGAAATTTTTCTCCTTTTTTAAATTATCAAAAATAATGTAATACCTAATCGATTTATTAACCATTGTCTTGAAAGAGCAGGCCTTAAATACTCACTCTCAATCATTTAACTGATAGGAATATGATAATTTGTTCCTAAACCTGAGAAGGCGGTATCAGTTGGAGGATTTGTACATAATGTAAAAAGCTAATTGTTTTCAGACTTTTCTTATGCTGTTACTAAACAAATGAGCCTATTTCATAATCTTTAGTTTGTCAAATAGCTTGTTAACAGTGAAAATTACTTTTTTCCTTTTCTAAATTTCTTCTTCGTTTCAACACGAGAATTAGCCAGAAATTAATTAATTTCCATTCACTAGTTAGTATATTCAAAATTTTAACAGACGTTTTCACTTACATAAGAACTCCGCAACAAATGTCTCTCAAGCATTCCTAGTCCCTCCTATGTCCCATAAATTACTTCTCACAAGTTTCACCGCCTGAAATAATTCTAAGTATCGCCGCTGCTGATAACGGAGTTTCGGACATACACCCCTTTTAAGTAAGACACCAAAGAAAACACTTTACCAACATCCCACTAGAAAGAACGTAAGTTAAATAATGCATTTTCTGGCCTTTTATATCTTCATGTACATTTCACACTTTTTTCTTATTATATTTATATTAATTTTTCAATTTTTATTATTTGATTTGTTTTTGCAAAGATAACATTATGTTTTTTAATTTTCTAATGTTTATTTCAATTACTTTAAGTTCTATTTCATAATTCCAATTAAGATTACTACTGTTTAATTTTTATACAAATAGTTTTGAATTAACATGCATAAAAGCAAAGATGTTGGGGGACATTTACTCAAGTATTTTATCAATTTTAGTACATAAATTGCTTTTCACTCAATTTATAAAGAATCTTGTGTTAGCGAAAATGTTTAATTCAAATGAGTTCTTTGGTACTCTACTTTGATTCTAAATCCCATCACTTCACGGAACTACAATTTTGGCTAACTTAATTTGCCAATTTGGCATCACCATTCTTACATGAGTAAAAGATGAAACACCTTCGTATTTATTAATTATTGTTCATTGAACGGGAGTTGGTTTGTTCCCCTTGAAAAGTCAACTAATTTCTCATCAATAGGGATAATTACTTGCTTTTAATTTAATTTAAAAGTTTGAAATTTTGTTATTCACGATTTAATTCAAGTCCCCATAAATCATTTTTAATAATTTAGATTTAAGTTACTTTAAAACGCAATTTTCAGGATTAAACTAAATTTATATTAGGAGATAATATAATCAATATTTCTTTAGTATATATATGTATATATTTGCAGCAATTGCGCAAGTAGTAGAATAACTCGATTTCGCACTAAGTGAATTTACGATCATACAACATTATATATATACATATATATATATAATTTATTTCCTAAACAGTATTGATTAATTGATTATATTATCTCCTAAGTTTAATTAAAGTAGAATTATCTTAAAAGAGTGAATCCATACTGGTAAGTTATATTTTGAAAAATGTTTTGACAGTGGCGTAGCAAGCGTAACTGGCGCCCGGGGCAAAATAACTTTTTGGCGCCCCCCCCCCACAAAAAAAACTTTCAGTAATATAATGTATAGAATATATTCTTAATAAGAAAATAATGCAAATAATAATAAAATGCTGAATCTGCCATAAAATACTCAAAAATATATAAAGATTAGTCACTACCTAACTGCACTAGCCTTGGATTCGGAAATGCATCTGTGTCGGCGGAAAAATCTGACCTACGATGATCTAGAATTAGTTAAAAAGGTGTTATTTATTTACATATTTATATAAGTGTTTTTAAAAAGTACAGTTTTTAAACAATTAAAAGTTTAATATACATTATAGATAAACAGATATGTGGCAACTTACCTACTACAACTTAACTCTGCCAGTCTGTCTGATAACCCATAGCAACCAAAAACAAAAATAATATTTGTTCCATTCAATTGTTATAATTGTTTAACGATCTGTCTCAAAAAATTGTACTACCATAATTGGTGACACGCATTTATTACGAATGGCAACCTTCAATGTTGCACAAGTATGGAGTTTATATGTCTAAATTCTGAGCAGCAGTAAGTTATCCAGTGTGTGTGATGAGATGCAAGTAAGACATTCACCTGTCATTTCAAGCTTTTTGCCGCATTCCGGTGAGTCAACATATTTCTGTCATAATTTCAGCGGATATATGTATCGTCTGCTGCATTTGAGCCTCCAATTTCTCTGATTTCAAGTACCAAGAAACTGTGTCACTATATACATATTCATTATTTTTCTATACATATTATTATTGTGCATATTTGATTGAGCTAAAGTGGTTGACAACGATGCTGCTTCGCAATTGGCGAGAGTGGCAGTTAAGCCACCGCCTTTTTCTCGCCGAGACCCATCGTTATGGTTCATTCAATTGGATGCGCAGTTGAGTCACATTACTGCCGACGAAACTCAATTTTATACAGTGATCGCGCTGCGTTAGAATCAGAGGTACTGCAATCAGCTCATGAAATAATTTTGAATCCATCGACGACGGACAAATTACAAATCTTTAAAAAAAAAAAAAATTAATTTCTGTTTATGAAGAATCCGAGACAGTTAAAATCGAAGCAGCTGTTGCACATGATTTACGGTTGGGTGATATGAGGCCTTCTCACTTGCTGTCTAAAATGTCAGATTTAGTCGCCGGTAACCTAACGGATAACATTCTTAAAACATTATGGATGAATAGACTCCCATCTAACATGCAAACCTATTTTAGCGGCCAGTAGCGAGCCACTTAAAAATCTTTCCCGAAATCGCTGATAAAATTCACGAGCGATGGCCATTCCAGCGCAAATACACGCAGTGCAGGCTCCTGGTCCAGGTATTGTGGTGTTACAAGCTTATATTGATGATCTGTCCAAACAGGTTGCTCAATTAGT